GAAATTTGATATACAGACATATCTACGGTAGGTTCTTATAGTAAGGTATATAGGAAGGAGTTTGTAAATGGAGGCTTGGCACATTCCGTGAGTGTGGAATTTTTTATCAGCCATAACTTCGAAACCATAAGTCACACGAACTTTAAATTTGGTATTCAGGCATAGCTATGGCAGGTGCTTATAGTAGACTATAAATACACAAGTTAGTAAAAGGGGATATGGCACAGCCCATAGGCGTTTAAATGTTTATCAGCTATAACTTCAGAACAATAAGCCCCATGAACTTGAAATTTTCATATGCAGGTATAGCTATGGCAAGTGCTTACAAAAAGATATACATATATAAATGAATTTGTAATCCCATAGGCGTGGAAATTTTTTTTAGCTATGACTTAAAGACCATAAGTCACAAGAAATTGAAATTTGGTATGCAGGCACATATATGGGAGCTGTTTAGAGTAAAGTATATATAAATGAGTTTGTAAAAGGGGAATAAATACATATGTATTCATCTATTAGATCACTCAGATATTTAAAACTGTGTTTTTTTGAAACCTTACATTTTTTAGATCATTTCGAAATGGAAAGATTCAATCGTTTCTTTGGTCCCGCGTTGCTGTTAAACAAAAAATGTTCATTCATAATGAATAAAGCTTCTTCCGAAATAAGCATGCTACCGAAAAAGTACAGCTATATTAAAGCAGCGAAGCGAATAGGCAGCTAAACGGAATGCACCGTAGTAAACTAATTTAAAAATTCTATCGTTACCTTAATTCACCTAACATTAATAATGGAACCAGATTTGTAGTATAGAGAGTGATGATTAATATATGTTAGTTGAAGTACGATAAAGCTAAAAATATGGCTCATAAGGATGCCTTAATTTCAACAGAAAGAAAATAGTTTTTCTCCTCTAATTTATGCTGAATTTAATATTTGAATTACTGTTTTATATTTTGATTTGTTTACCCCGGACGACGTCGGGTGCTCTGCTTGTTATCAATATAAAAATTCGTTACTTTAAAACAAATCAAAGGTATTACGTATGTATGTAAAGCTGTGCTCACGAAAATAGTAGTAAAATGTATTGACAGGTTTGGAAATTTTTTTCTTTCCTTACTTAATTTAATATTTTTATAAAAATATAATTAATTCTATAACAAAAGACAAGTGAGTTGCAGTCTGAAACTTTATAGAAAATTTATAAAAATTGAGAAAATTAAAAAAAAAATTGTAGCCCATTCAGTTTCAGTAGAAGAAGAGCTCGATTCAGAATCTGTTTGCATATTTTAAGCTACAAATTTAAAACATATTTAGTTGGTGTACTTATTAAATGCAACATTCACATTCAAAGCTACATATCCAAGATTCGGTAGTTTGCACCTTTTCCAAATTCTTATAACTTACATTGCACCGTAGCAGTAGTCGTCTTAAGTTTGACATACTGACAGCTGATTTCTCAGTGGATGTTTAATTATAATCAAAACGAATTGCAAGTTTTAAGTTGCTAAAACCTGCCGTTGATTGTTTAGAATATTTTTTGTGGAGGGTGTTGCGGGTTTCTTCCATATAAAAACAAATTGTGTTTATTCATTATATGGAAGCAAATGCAACAAAAAAATTTTAAAGAATCAACGGTAAATTTAACCGACCTGAAATTTTCACTTGGTTGTACTAAAAATGATTGGGCTAAAAAACTGCATACTCGAAAGATTTCTAGAGATTCTGAATAAAAATTTGAAAATTTTGATGACGATTTGTTGAATTTTTGTGAACTTTATATAAAGTGTGAATCTTTGATTTATATGATTTATATTACAGAATGAACCATGTTTTCATAAATGATTAATGAAACAAAAATAATTGCGAATATTATATTAGAACAAGGTGTATACTAACTTTTGATACTGACCGTAAGTACATACAGTGACCCAAACAGATGTTCAGGTGTTGCCTTTTCTAAATATTCACAATGTTTTTGAAGTTAAACCTTTTTGTTCTTCTATACGAATATTTACTGAGTTTTAACCAAAACCACATAAATCAAAGTTTCAAATTTTATAATAAATTTTTTGGTATGCGGGTTTTTAGACCATGATATTTTAGTCCGATGAAGTGCAAGTTTCAAGCGTCTAAAAAATCACGTTAGTTTTTAATACTTTTCTTTTGCTGAGGGATTTTTGCACTGTTTTTTCATATAAATATAAATTTCTTATGAAATAAAAAGAACAAGACCGTTCACAACAAAATTTCAAAACATTAACGTCAGTTATATAAGTTGCTCTTCTATATATGTATATAAAAAAGTATGTATGTATGTATCTATGCAGCTTATAGACTCCGAAACCATTCAGCCGATTTTGTTAAAATTTCCAGGATAGCTTCATAGAAACTCGGAGAGTGTTCCTGTGAAGTTTGGCTATTTTTGAAAGAGTTGCCACCTGTCAGAAAAATAAAATTTATTTAAATATGCAAGTAAAGTAAGTATAGATATCAAATGGAAGGTATTTGAGAAAGATATTTAAGAAAATTTACATCAAAAAATATTTTAATAAGTGTTGCCACCTGGTCGAAAAGTTAAAAATAATGAATATCTAATGCAATTCACATCAAATATTGCAATATGGGTATCAAACGAAAGGTATTGGAGAAAGATTCACGCCAAACGTATTTTTGAGTAGCGTTGCCACCTCTTTCAAAAAAAGTTAAATGACATAAATGTGTGTATTAAAAAGTATTTCGCAGGATACGTATCAAACGGGAGCTATTGGGTAATGTTTCAGTTAAGACCAATTATCGTATAGAGTGTCCACATACTTAAGAAAATACAATCGGATAATATTTTTAAGAAATACCAAAGATTTAGAGTGTGATAAACTTCAAAGTCTGTCAAACCGAAAGCTTACCAGAAAGAAAATGCCGAATCCAAATTTTTAAATCTATATGTGAACATATGTATGTATGTTAATGCCAGAGTTGTGTAAATTTTCACCAGGTTGCAATTTAAAAACGGAATTTGTTTAATAGTTAAAAACCAAAAAAGTACTCGATATTAATGCATAACTTTTGTTTCTTATTGAATAAGGCTTAAAAAAAATATAATAAAATTTGCAATAAAAAATTTTGTAATATTTTTTCCTAATGCGCATACGAGATTTTGCTTGCATAATTTTCCTAAATTTGGGTGTATAAATTTTGGTATTTTTCCACAACATTCATGAAGAGAATACCTACATAGAAAACACTTTGTTACCTAAGTTCACATAAATAAAGGGTTTAAAAATTTCAAATTATTTGGGAGGAAAGTACCTGCAGAATTATAGCATTCG